AACAAGGAACTTTTTACTCCATCTAGGCCATCCTATCTACTAAATCAAACACTAAAAATCTCAAAGCTAGCCTTTATCATTCAAATATTTATTAAGCCTTCCCTTAAACTAACTGTAGCTACCACGTCTGAAGGCCATTTGTTCCAAAGGCCAAAACCTTCTTAGAAAAATAAAGCTGGCTTAGCTGAAGGCAATTCCTACCCTGTCAAAATTTATATTTGTGTCCTTAGTCTTAAAATTTATTTATTAAGATAAAATCTGACTAAGAATCCTATAGGACAAAGGAGTCCTGGTAACTGCAAGGGGTTAACTTAATGAGTAGAGCATATTGAAATGACCAATTCTCTCTTTCAATAAGTAACAAAAATTGGTAAGTCAAAATCAAAACTTAATAGGCACAGATATAAATGACACCCATATTCACAGCCCAAAAGGTAATAAAGATCTTTAAAACCATAATAGCATGTATATGTACCCATTTTTATATACTTACACTGGAGACTAGCAAAACTATATTTTACCATATTTTCGTTAAAAGAAACAACAGTGCAACAAGATCATGAAGTATTTAGGTGCAAACTAAGAATATTTGAACTAAAAGCACTTTGAACATTGCCCTGAGTGCATACCCATTTCTTGATTATACATATTTCAGTAAGTGGTAACCAATTAAAAACCTTTTAAGAAAATTAAAAATGTTAAGTAAACTTGCACAGCTCTTGAAAACATCCAAGTCAAAAAGATAGTTTCAAGTCATTAGCAAATGTTTCAGGGTAGACAAAAGTGAGCAGCTAATACAACTAATAAGGCACAAAAGACAATATAGGCTCAAACTACTAATTTAAATAGTGTCAGTATAAATGTGATATGGATTTTAAATTAATATGCATGGATATAAATCTTGAAATATATTTCTAAATAGTGAACATTAAAATAATATTAATTCTGTCATTCTGCCAGAACAGATTATGAATAAAAAAAAAGAACAGAATTTTTTCAAAACTCAAATAATGCATGAATGACTTATTATATCACAAAATATACACATCACACATTTCACTATTTGTACATAAACTTAAAAGAAATGAAATTCGATTGATTCACCTGCTTCTTCTGCAGCTTCAAGTTGTTTCTGGGCTTCCTCTCTTCTTTCTTGTCTTTTTTCCAACTGGATATACAAATATATATATAGAAAATTAATACTTAAACAGTCAAGCAAAATAAAATCAAAAGGAAGGACTGAGTTAAAAACAGCAAATCCACACCAGTGATAAATGACATTTAAATGAACAAAACAAACCCAAACAAAAACAAAATTAAATTAAAGATGCTGCAGTCACCTCCAAAACCTAGGAACATTTTATATCCACATTGTATCCTGTATCCTGGAGAGCCCTTTAATTTATAGTTTTTAATTTAATTTTGTTTTGTTCATATATATATATATAATAACAATACTTTTTCTTTTTAAGAAGTCAAAAATTTTACAAACTATCACATGTATTGTACATCAATTTTATACAACTTATTCCAAAGTCAATTTATATTAAACTATGATTCTATTCCATACAATTATTATCATCAAATTATCAGTGCAGTAATTTTGACTAGTTTGACAACTGGAAATAAAATGTGAATTAAAGGGTATAATTTGTTTTTTTTTAACATACACTTACTAAAAATATTTTGTTCAACAAAAGTGTGTGACAGTCAAATGCGATTGATTATACTTAAAATTTTGAGAACAAATCAGTTATGATAAACCTAGGGTTAAAAGATCTCCTCTGGAACACAGCTTTGGGTGTATAAAAGCTATTTTCCACTGAATAAAAGCTTAAATTCCATCCATTTTTCATTTATTCTATATTAATATCATCATCTTTGTGTTCAGCAACCATGGATGACAAGTTGATACTCACAGATCATTCTAATCACTCAAATGACAATTAATTAATCCACTGCTTTTTTCTACAATGATTAAATCAATTTTACATCACTGCTTGGCTATCTGTTGACACAATATTACTTATACAAAATCACTAAACATCAATTTACATAATACATTTAACTGCTTGGCTATCTATACATAACACTGGTACAATAAAATCACCAACAATAAACATCAGCTTGTGCAAATGAATGAAATAAACAGATCAATATATTATTTTATATAATATACCCAATACAAGTATATGGAATAGTAAGAATTAGATGTGTGATTTTAGTTAAAATCCCATAATTTTCCATTATTCTTTTCTAATTATTTTTAATTTTATCTCATACTTGGGTAACGTAACCTTCTATGTTTATTAATACTCTAATATTATTATAAAACTCCTGAAAAATAAACTTTTGTTTTAATAAATGGATTTTTATTAATATTTCTACTTATATTGGTTAGTTTCTTTAAGTTTACCTTCTAAGTTTCAAACCTAGAGTAAAATCGAATGAGCATGCATGCCATATTTTCATATTTCACTTCTGTTTGCATGAGCTCTAGAGCCAGAAAAAGGCAGATTTTTTTAAATATATAAATAAAAGAACTATCATGTACAGAACAGAGAAACCTCTTAGTGAAATTTACATCTGATAATTCAAATCATATCATTTGTTTACGTACCTACTTGTCACGCTATGCCAGTTGAGGCAATCGACACCTTTAAGACTTTAGTTCTCAGTTGTTAAACTCTACAGATTTAGTTTTTCCTTTTTTCAGTATACTTAAAAAATTGTAAGTAATTTTTAACATAGAGTTTTCAAACAGTTTAGAGTAACCAATATACATATAGTTTGTAATCTTAATGTTTAAAACAACTGTTTGTACTGCTTCTTATTGAGTACGACTGCATGCATGTGTACTAACATCTGATATTACTGCACTCTTTGTCCCATATATCTCTGATTCAAAAAACAAAACTTTTTCCCATACCTCTGAGCTTTTCATCTGAGGAGGTTTTCCATCAAAAACATACACAGGCTTGATTCCATTTTCTATCATACGAATTGTTCTATAGAACAACCCAACCAAGTGACTGATAAGATAAAATGGTATTAGCAACTGCTTTCCTTTTTAAAGAATAAGAATTCCATAGGAGTTCAGTTACACTAATTTACAGCCTATTTTATTTGTTTATATATGCACATTCAGCATATCTCAAACATTCAGTTGCACAAATGTTAATGTAGAAATAAGAAGAAATTGATAGAAACATCCAGTGCTCTGAGTGCTGTAACTACTAGTCTACTGCTCATCATTAATCTTGAATTTCATATTTTAAGAATTAAATTATATATATAGAGAAATAAAGTTCTTCTGAAAAAAACTGTAGTTAACAAACACCCCAAAATGAGATTTTCTATTTATGACTAGGCTTCCAAAGCTTACAAATATGACATTTTCACACTTAAGACACCATATCCGGGATCTGATGATATCAATCCTAAGATTCTGAGAAAGTGAGTAATGATCCTGTACAGTAGAGAAATTCTTGACAGTTGGAAAATTCGTGCGGTGATCCTTGTTTATATATATATATATATATAAAAAGTAACAAGAGACCCAGAAAATTAGAAGTATATTAGTTGAGAACCTATAGAATTGACACAAAAAGTTAATTATTAAGTAAGAATCTAATGAAATTAGTATAAAGTAAATATAAAAAT